TCAAGCTTCAGCAATCAGGCGCCCACCCAGAGAACAAGGGAAGTACAATTCAAATTTTAACTTTTAATATTTGATAATATGCTATACCCAGTCACCAAACTGGGACAGAAAATTTTCTTTATTTGTTTATTTTGTTGCAGTCAGGTGCCCACCTGGAGAACAAGGGAATACTTTTCAAGTTCAGCAATCAGGCGCCCACCTGGAGAACAAGGGAAGTACAATTCAAATTTTAGCTTTTAATTTTTAATATTTGATAACATGCCGTGCCCAGCCACCAAACTGGGGCAAAAAAAAATTTTCTTTGTTTGTTTTGTTGCAGTTAGGAGCCCACCTGGAGAACAAGGGAATACTTTCCAAGCGTTGCAGTCAGGAGCCCACCTGGAGAACAAGGGAATACTTTTCAAGCGTCAGCAATCAGGAGCCCGCCTGCAGAATAGAGGCATATATTTCAAATTTCAGCAGTCAAGCATCACTCGGAGGAATGGCAAAACATCGCCGATCATAATGCAAGGCAACAACAAGGATTCCATCGGAAGAATACAAATTCAAGGCAACACAAGAGCAAGTTTGAAGACATAGATAGGACCTTTTTGTAATTCATAGCTTAGGCTAGCTTTTTTTTATTTTGACACGGTGTAATAAGGAGGTCAGTAAGCAGTAACGGCAGTAGCAGCAACAGTGAAACCACAACTTCATGGTAGTCCCAGCTACCAAATCTTCCTGAACTACACTGACCTGATTCCTTTGTAGCCAAGGATATGTAGGCAACCTCGGAAGCAGGGTGCAGTCAAATCTTTATAAAATGCTTCGCACGGAGTATTCAAATGGGCAAAAATCGCTCGTATCCGCTCACTTATCTTTGCACGGAAACTCTTCGTGTTTCTGTGCAAAGAGGGGCAACTGTGAGCACGTGATTTTTGCCCTATATGAATTACTCCCATAAAACATCAGAAAATAATTTTTCCCAATTTTTGCAATTTTGTAGGATTTTTTTTGTAGAATTTTATTAATTATTTGCATTTTTGTGCATATTTGATTTCCATTAAAAATTTAAAAATACCAAAAATACCATGCATTGTATTTAGATTTTGTGTTTACATTTTAGGATTAATTAATTAATTTGTTGCTTTGTTTAAAATAAAAATTACAAAAATGGCTCATTTTTACATTCTTAGCTTTTAATTTTGGATTATTAAGTTCTCTCTTTAAAGTTAGGATCAACTAATTTTTATAAACATTATAGATAGATAATTAGCTTAATTTTACAATTTGAATAAATTTAGGAGTTAATTTAGGTTTTTAATTAATTAAAGAAAGAAAAGAAAATTGAAAAAAAGAGCTATATCCATATATCTCTGACTCATATTTACGAGATGATAAAATATGGCAAAAGCTATACCGAAAATTAGTTCGCGTAGGAATGGACGTATTGGTTCACGTAAGGGTGCACGTAGAATACCAAAGGGAGTTATTCATGTTCAAGCAAGTTTCAATAATACCATTGTCACTGTTACAGATGTACGGGGTCGAGTAGTTTCTTGGTCCTCCGCCGGTACTTCTGGATTCAAAGGTACGAGAAGAGGAACACCGTTTGCTGCTCAAACCGCAGCAGCAAACGCTATCCGTACAGTAGTGGATCAAGGTATGCAACGAGCAGAAGTCATGATAAAAGGTCCCGGTCTCGGAAGAGATGCAGCATTACGAGCTATTCGTCGAAGTGGTATACTATTAACTTTCGTACGGGATGTAACTCCTATGCCACATAATGGCTGTAGACCTCCGAAAAAAAGACGTGTGTAGAACTGAACATTGAAGAAATCTCAAGAGAAATAAAAGATTCGATGATCTAATCAAATAATAGTACTATGGTTCGAGAGAAAGTAACAGTATCTACTCGGACACTACAGTGGAAGTGTGTTGAATCAAGAACAGACAGTAAACGCCTTTATTATGGACGCTTTATTCTGTCTCCACTTATGAAAGGCCAAGCCGACACAATAGGCATTGCGATGCGAAGAGCGTTACTTGGAGAAATAGAAGGAACATGTATCACACGTGTAAAATTTGAGAAAGTCCCACATGAATATTCTACCATAACGGGCATTCAAGAATCGGTACATGAAATTTTAATGAATTTGAAAGAAATTGTATTAAGAAGTAATCTCTATGGAACTTCTGACGCATCTATTTGTGTCAAGGGTCCTGGATATGTAACTGCTCAAGATATCATCTTACCGCCTTATGTCGAAATCGTTGATAATACACAACATATAGCCAGTTTAACGGAACCAATTGATTTTTGTATTGGATTACAAATAGAGAGAAATCGTGGATATCTTATAAAAACGACACATAACTTTCAAGATGGAAGTTATCCTATAGATGCTGTATTCATGCCTGTTCGAAACGCGAATCATAGTATTCATTCTTATGGGAATGGGAATGAAAAACAAGAGATACTTTTTCTCGAAATATGGACAAACGGAAGTTTAACTCCGAAAGAAGCACTTCATGAAGCATCCCGAAATTTAATTGATTTATTTATTCCCTTTTTACATATGGAGGAAGACAACTTATATTTACAGGACAATCAACACACGGTTCCTTTATCCCCTTTTACCTTTCATGATAAATTGGCTAAACTCATAAAAAACAAAAAAAAAATAGCATTGAAATCGATTTTTATTGACCAATCAGAATTGCCTTCCAGGATCTATAATTGCCTCAAAATGTCCAATATATATACATTGTTGGACCTTTTGAATAACAGCCAAGAAGATCTTATGAAAATTGAACATTTTCGTAGCGAAGATGTAAAACAGATATTGGGCATTTTAGAAAAATATTTCGTAATTGATTTAGCAAAAAATAAGTTTTAAATCTATTGGACTTACTTAGTGAAAATAGATTGAAAATCTTTAGCACAATTAATATATTAATATATCATATATTCAAAAAAAATTCAGAATTAAATTGAATAGATGTATCTAGGGAGAATTCGCTTTGAAGAAACTATTCCCTAGATACACATGTCGTGTTATTTCACAATTGAATCAATTTAAAAATTTAAAAAAGACCTAAAGTTAGGGATTTATCAATAGGTAATGTTGCACCAATGCCCAACCAAAGGGCGGCTGCGGTACCAATCAAAAAGACAGTCGTCGCTACTGGACGGCGAAATGGATTTTGGAATTTATTAACATTCTCTAAAAAAGGTACTGTTAATAATCCCACAGGTACTGAAACCATTAAAAGAACCCCCAATAATTTATTGGGCACTGTACGAAGTANATTCATTTAAGTCGAGTTTAGCTTGAAGGTAGTTTTACCCAATTTACCCTAACTTTCTATGGATGTATTGTGGTGGTACCTGTTGTTACATTCAACGATTGTGAAGTTCTTTTGGAGCATCATCATAGGCATCTTTCTCTGATTTAACTGTTGCATCAGATGATTTGTTAGCAGATCTAAGCTCCAAGGAATTCTCATTCCCTTCTTCCTTAACAGTTCTTTTGTCCATAAGCTCGTCCGAATCACCCTTATGAGCATGTATATCCCTGCTGGCCCTCCGTCTATACTCATCAACAGTTTTCTTGAGCTTCTGTTGTTCATCGTTTAAGTCAGCTTCAAATCTTGGGGCCATTGCATCAGTTGATTTGGCTGCAGAGGAAATTAGATCATTTTGAGCATTATCCTGGAAAGGAACTCCCACTTCTGGCCTTCCAGTTTTGTCAGCCAGTGCAAGACTAAAATGTTTGCAGGAAACAACATATTCATATGCTTACTTGGCTGCTTGATTATGCTAATTTGATGATTGTATCTGATTGTCCTCAGGTCTTTTTACTCGACTCTTTCATGTGCGCGAATCTTGTTAGGCGTTGCTCTCGCTGATCCCAATTCGGACCAAACCCGTGTGAAGAAATTTAGTTGAGGTGCGCCATGCCAAACAAAATGACAATTGCATGGCCCTCGTTTTAATCAATCTTGTTTATCCTTTAGAATTCGAGGTGTGCCATTAGCGAATTTCCATGGCCCTCGCAAAGTTGCAAACGCGAAATTGCTTTAGGCGCGTTAGTCTAATAATATTACCTTCCTTAATTCGGGTGCGCATTTATGTGACCCAAATCCAAATCTCAACGATGTTGAAATACGTCAAAAACCACGGGTGCATTTATGTGACGTGGTTCGAGACGCGTTTTAATGATGTTGCAATTCTCTTAAAGAATAATAAAATCGGTTAAAAGTTAAAATTTGCACATAAGTTCATAATTGTTTAAAATCAGATAATTTAAGCCGAATATGACAGTTGAGCGACCGTGCTAGAACCACGGAACCCGGGAATGCCTAACACCTTCTCCCGGGTTAACAGAATTCCTTACTCAGATTTCTGGATCGCGGACTGTTAAACAGAGTCATAATTTCCTCGGTTCGGGATTCAACCGGTGACTTGGGACACCATAAATCTCCGAAGTGGCGACTCTGAAATCTTAATAATAAATCCTGTTCCAATTGTCCTTAAGTGGAAAAACTCCTTTACACCCTTGGGGGTGTAGTGAAAAAAGGAGGTGTGACAGTACTGTTGAAGAAGAAGAAGAAGAACAACCCTAGTTGATGCTTTAAGATTATTTCAGAAATAAGAAGTAGATGAAGAAGAGAAGAAGAAATCGCTGCTGTTGTTGAAGAACAACGCTCGTCTGGCTGCTGTTGAAGAAGTCCAGACAGTGTTTAGAAACCTCGTTTTTAATAAAATAGGTCTTGGGTATTTTAAACAGAGAAGCGGACACTTCTTCTCGCTTTTTACAGAGAAGCGGTCGCTTTTTCTTACGTGAGTCGCTTCACCTACATGAAGCGCTGCCCTTCACTCTTCGCCTCGCTTCTCGCTTAAAGCAAGGAAGCGAACACTTTTTTAATCACTGGAGAGGGGAAGGGTGCATGTCAATTGGGAGTTCCTTGAGAAGGCTTTCGACCATGTCATTTGGGAGTCCCTGGATTTCATTATGATGCGGATAGGGTTTGGGGTAAGATGGAGGGGATGGATCAAGTTATGCATTTCCTCAGTCAGATTCTCTGTCCCGGTTAATGGTAGCACGTGTGGTTTCTTTGGCAGCTCCAGGGGTCTCAGGCAAGGTGACCCCCTATCCCCCATGCTATTCGTTCTAGTGATGGATGCTCCGAGTAAAATGATGGATCGTGCGGCGGGCGGAGGCTTCTTGAGAGGATTCTCAACTCCGATCTGGGTGCTTAGTGCCGGAAGAGTCTCTCATTTGCTATTTGCGGATGACACCCCAAATTTTTGTGATGCCGATATGGATCAGTTGACCTACCTGAAGCAGGTCCTGTAGTGGTTTCAGATAGTATAAGGACTCAAAATCAACCTCGGCAAGTGTGAGATTTATCCGGGGGGTGAGGTTGCTAACATTGGTGCTTTGTCTTATGTTCTCAGATGTAAGGTGGGCTCTCTTCCCGCTACTTACCTGGATCTCCCATTGGGCGCTTTGCATAAGGATACTACGGTATGGAATCCAGTGATCCAAAGAGTTGAAAAAAGATTAGCAGGCCGGCAGAAACGGTACTTGTCAAAAGGCGGTAAGGAAGTGCTTATTAAAAGCACTTTATCGAGTATGCCCACCTATTACTTGTCCCTGTTGCAAGCTTCTGCGAGCATCACAGAAACACTGGAGCGGCTTCAAAGGAATTTTCTTTGGGATGCGGCGGATGGAACTAGGAAGTTTCATCTAGTGAATTGGCAGACTGTCACTTCCCCAAAGAAGTGGGGTGGACTTGGAGTAAAAGATCTTAGGGTATTCAACAGAGCTTTGTGAAGTGGCTGTGGAGATTCGGGGTAGAAGAGCATGCTCTATGGAGGGAGGTCATAGTAGAAAAGTACGATTCCACGGGTGGGGCTGGAGGACCAAGGCAATCACATCACCTTTCGGGTGTGGCATGTGGAGGAGCATCATGAAGAATTGGGAAGCCTTCAATGGAAACATCACTTACAGGGTGGGAGATGGAAAGAGAATCAGCTTTTGGAATCACAGGTGGTGTGGAGAGGATACTTTGAGGGTCTCTTTCCCCCACGTCTTCAGAGTTTCAAATCAGAAGGAATTGATAGTCCAGCATATTCGGAAGGAGCATGAAGGAGGGGGTGGGGGGGGGGGGGCAGTATGGGACCTCTCATTTAGAAGGAATATGGAAGATTGGAAGATTGCGGAGCTCCAAGATTTGTTGTCACTGCTATATGGGCAAGACATGCCCCAGCCATCTTGTGATTCTAGATGGGGGTTGCGTGGCGATGGTTTGTTCACCACAAAGTCCTTTTACCAGAGTATGTTGGTGAGAGAGGAGGCCACTTTTCCATACTCCTCGATCTGGATTCCTAAGGCGCCCACGAATGTGTGCTTTTTTGCATGGCTGGCGGCTAGGGGAGTGATCTTGACTACTTAAAATCAGCGAAAGAGAGGAATTGCACTTGTTAGTTGGTGCTACATGTGTAAAAGCTCGGGGGAAGAAGTTGATCACCTTTTGTTGCATTGCCCTGTGTCCTCAGGTTTGTGGAGGGCAATCCTGAATTTTTTTGGTGTTCAATGGGTGATGCCAAGCACTGTAAAGGAAATGTTATATAGCTGGGATGGTTTTCGTAGAAGAAGAAAGCAAAAGGCGTGGAAGTTCGCCCCGTTAGCTCTCATGTGGATAGTTTGGGGGATATGAGAGCATTTGCGGGGATTGAGTCTCATTTTTCACATCTTAAGAATAGTCTTTTATCTCTGATCGCTTTTTGGTGCACTCATATTGCCCCTACTTGTATAGAAGATTGGACATCTTTTGTAGAGAATCATATTTTGATGTAAATTCTCTACTTTTTGGTATACTTCTTGTATACGTGAGTTTCTTCTCCCTTTTGATTAATACAATTTACCTTATAAAAAAAAAAGATCCTCTCTTCAGTTGGGTTTTTATCTTAGCAAAGTTTAGTTTCGAATTTAAGTCCTTTGAAATAACTTCCTTGTGATCTTAGTCTAGTTTGTCGACTTTTAGCACCTTCATTAATCATATTGCCACCTATAGATCGATGCATTCAAAGACCAATATGGGACATGACTGAACAATCTTAGATGACCTATTATTTTATCTTCTATGTGTGCTGCTTGCACTATTTGTTAGATGCTCTAATCTTCTCCCGTCTTTTATGACTGAACATCCATTTCAACATTCACAATTTTGTAAGGTGGCACAATCATCTTGTAAATGTTAGCTCGTACAAGCCCTACATTCGCTTATATAGAACGTTGCTATCTCATAATTGTTCTATTCACTTGTTTTTCACTTTGTTAAGGTGGTGTTCATTCAAGATAGTTTTTTCCCAAAATTGCATAAGAGCCTTTTCAAGTTGATGTGTGATTATGTTTTTCAGAGTTTTTGTTTTGGCCAAAAACCTTCGTTGAAGTTGTTTGAGGTGTTTTGCAAGATTTGTTTCCCATAAAACTCTCTTTTCACTCACAAAACACCAGCAAAATCTTAAAAGAACTACAATTATCCAAACACAGCTTCAGTTTCCTCACAAACTTTATTTCTGAAGACTTTCTCCAAATATTGTCCAAACGACAAGATCTGTATTGCGCTGCTGTAAGAATCTTCTATATCAGCTGTCATAATTTACTTTTATGTGTTACATCTTCATCAATCATGTCATTTTATTTGTATGACCTAGCTAAATATCTGAATTTTCGCTATTTTGGCACCTCAATCTCATCTAATCTCACCTTACTTTCATTCTTCTTATGGTAGCTAAATCGGCAGTCCTCATATTCTAACATACATCTAATTATCATCAAATCATTATTGTCCAGGTTTTTTATTTGCTCGCTCCCTAGTTTAATCATTTAACTCAATATTGTATGCAAATAGTACTTTCAATCCCTCTCTTTAATCTCACACTCTCCTATCAAAACTTGTTACAGATCATTTTGAATACATATCATATTTGAATCCGTTGGGGATGTTTGTATTAGTTTTCAAGTCCTATGCTCCCTCAGTCAATAACTTAATACTTGAATTAGAAAGATGGAAAATGATCATGAATTCAAGTTAAAAGCCATTTCCCCCCTTTTAGAGTCTCCAATTTATAAATTTAGCCACCTAATGACAACACCCCTCTATGTAACTCTAAGATTCAAGAATCAAATGTAGCGAAGTCTGGCAATTCATAGTAACGCTTTTCTGGTCTAGCAGTTAAGACTCAAAATTCTTAAGTTATGGCTTTAAGGGTTCAAAATCTTAAAGAATTCAGCTTGTCAAGTTCCTAGCCAATGACTGGTGAAAATAGAAATCAGTTTTTCTGTACCATTCAGTTTGTTGTACTTCTTCCTTCGGAATCCTGATTTACCTGTCATCTTCACCGTTTCCTTCTCCCCTCCAATTTGTTGCATGTCTTCCTCCTCCTGTGTCCTTTTTCGTTTGTCCATTTTCTATCTCTTCAATGCCATCCAATTAGTCAGTTCAATATTCAATTCCCTATCGCTAATCAAGTTTCTTCTTGATCATTTGCCTTTTTTAAAGAAAAATAAAATATATTGTCCCCACAAAAACGCAAGCCTCCTCCATAGATTCACTCTTTAATTCTTCATAAAACCAAAGGATGGCCCATAATGGTGGAGCTTAACTTTTACTGCATTACCTCCTTCCCTTAGTTGTGGACAATTTCAAGGATATTCGTATCCAGTGCTATGGTCAGTTTCTCGTCAGGAACATGGTAATCTTGTTTACAGTTACTAATTACTATAAGAGAACCTTGTGCGTCCCCATAGGTTTTCATGATATTTACGATTCACAGGTTTATCCAAAAGACGCTTCTACTTGGAAAGCTTTGGAAGGGTTACTGCAGGTTTTATGATGGTACTATTATTCATATATATTCCATAGTTGCTGGTCATTCGGATGCTGCAAGCCTGCAATAGCATTTGCCTTTATATGTGCTCAATGGTGAAGAACTTCTTTGAACTCTACTTCGAGGTAATACTGCCTGAGGATTGTTATGTTTTTAATTTTCAGGCCTTTGCTATATGTTGTGTCCACGATCCTGGTTTGGCAAAAGGAAAAGGAAACCAAGTGCTAATTAGCTATGTTGCGCGGACTCTCCAAAATGTAGACGCACCCGTGTCGGATCCTTTAAAAATGCACTACTTTTGGAGGATCCGACACGCCACACTTTCGGAGAGTCCGAGCAGCATAGCTAATTAGGTAAAAACTGGTGAGCTACCAAAAGTAAAAAAGAAAGAAAAAGCAAGAATTGCCCATTGAGAATGACATGAGCAGGTTTTGAGTGAGAAAAGAAAACTAACAAAATGGAGAAATATCTACATATGCCTATACAACAACAACAACAACAACCCAGTAAAATCTCACTAGTGGGGTCTGGGGAGGGTAGCGTGTACGCAGACCTTACCCCTAGCTGTTTCCAAAAAGAAGTGCAATATATATTTCTCTGCAAATAAATGGAGGGGATATGCAAGAATGAATGATTGAGAAGCCAAAAATGAATCTAAAGAGAAATGCAGAAATGGACAAAGCATGATCGCCATAATTTGTATGTTGATCAAACTAGCTTTCAATGAATGAAAAAAGTATATCAATTTAACACAAAGATGTATGTTATATCATGTGATATAATAGGCAATCACTGAAAGTTCAGCTTATTGTTTCTTATAATTGGGTTAATTTAAACCGAAACTACTTAACTGTTCAAACCATTCTACATCTGAGGCCGGAGAATCAATGGGAATAATTAAGCATCCTCACTGACTAGCTATGCCTAAATTTTGATTTTAAAACAAAACTGAATAAGTTATTAGAATGTCTTTAACAAATATGTTAACAAAATCTACGTGCAGTGAGGAAAATTAATTATGAATGAATGTGGACATTGTGCTTGGCTTGACGCCCATCAGTGGTAAAGCCAGAAAATTCAAAAAGGGTGTTCAGAATTTGAATATTCTTTGTTAGTGCGTTATGCAAGGGTGCTCAAAAACTATTTTTGGATCAATAACAAGTAATATTTATCTTTCCTATACATGAGTATAATTTTTCGGCGAAGGGTGTTCAGTTGACTATCTTTGGCCACACATAGCTTCGCCCTGATACCCATTAGCTTTGCGTGGCTAAGTATGGTAGAGTTATGTATTGGAAAGTGGAGAGCAGTGACAGAGTTGTGAGTCTTCTTTGTCATTAAGGTTCTTTTATTTATTTCGGTTAGACATATTGCTTAAGACATTAATTAGCAATAGTTGAGATAAGTAATAGCCATATTCGTGTACGATGAGTTTAATCTGAAAATCTTTGCAGAATATTTCATTTTTGTTGGTGTAGTCTTTGGTTCTTTATGTTTCAAATTCTGCTGCTAGGCTTCTGGGACTCTGATATTGATAATAGTGAATCAATGTGATAGGAAGGTATATTTCGACTGTTTGAGATTTGCAGAGTTTGGGTTACAGTAAGCTTTTCACTACAACATTATGCATATATAGCTACGAAATGTTAGCTACAGATTTAAAAATCGTGGCTAATACCTAATAATAGCCACAAAAATTCGAATTCCATGGCTATTTACAAATTCATAAAATTTCTTAGCTACAAAAATTAAATTGGCAAAGCTAATTCTTCATTTTTGTTATAATTGCTAACAATCGTGACAATAATTACCTAAATAGCTACAAATTTTATTGCTACAATAAAATTTCGTAGCTAAACATAATTTTTTGCCACATGATAAAAGTTACTGTAGCAATAGTAATCTTTTAGCTATAATATACTATTTGAAGAAAAACATTGTAGCTAAATAAATATTTTTGCTTCAGGTTATTAAAAAAAGTGGCAATAGTTAAATGATATAGCCACAAAATTATTGCTATAATAAATTTTCGTAGCTAATATTAGTTTTATGCTACGAGCTGAAACGTACTGTAGCAATAGTAACTTTTTAGCCGCAACAAGATACTTAATTGTTGCGGCTAAAAAGATACTTAAAACCCTCAGGGGTTGGCCTGGTGGCATTAGACTTGAGCCTTGGGGTTTGCTCCCTTTCAAGGTCTCAAGTTCGAAACCCACTGGGTGCAAATAATTTCTGAGGGCCGTCGGACTGGGT